AATTTTGTCAGTTATAGAGTAGAAGCCTCTTAACAGAACACCTCCCACGGTGAGCGAAATACACTATCCAGTTATTCTTATTAAGGAAGGCCTATTAAAGAGTAGATGGGCTGGTTCTGCTTGGCAGTAATGGATCCAGAAACTGTCTAAGATCCGAATGTATTATTCTATCAGTAACAGTAGGTTTGCAGTAAATAATAAAAGGGGGTAACCTAAACCGTTGACTCGATTGATACCCCACCAGAAGGTTATACAGAATCTTTTGTTATCAATCATACTCGTCCTTCGCCTGTTCATGGAAACCAATCAGTTTCGAAAGGTTTCAAAGGGCTGTGCTACTTAGTTAACTACATGCAAATTAACCTGAAGATTTTTTTAAAAAGCTGACTGTCTTTAAAACCAGTATCAAATCACTAGCAGCAATTTTAAGGAACAATCCTATTCTACCATGTTTCTCTGAAGCAGGAATTTCTCAAACTGTGGAGGATTTGCACTATATATTTAACAATCTGGTCATGATGTGGCATAATCTCTTGTCAGATTTTAGTTTGAAACTAGTAAGTCTATCGGGTTGTTTCTTGATGTGTTATTGTAAATTAGGAATATTTCATGGACAGTATATTTTACTAGACTCCGTAGAGTATTTGAATAAAATTGAAAGATAAATTTCCCCAGTATTAGAGCAGAGGCGATGAAGATCAATTGAACAGCTACAGTAATTCTGTCCTGTATGCAGTTCAGACACAGGTGGTTCCTTCATGGTGGGTGGCCAAATTATAGATATTGGCTTTCCACGGTAATAGCAGAACAGCATGCCTGAAGGACTTGCTTTCTTTACAAGTCTATTTGTGCTCTGACTGATTCAACAAGAAAGTATTTTTCTTCCCACAGGGGAGTAAACTAGGTCAATAATACCAGTGAATCTCTAACAAACCTCCCAAGATATCAAGATGCAGGCAACTAAGGGTAGGACTCCCACAGGCAGGGGAAAGTGCTGCGAGGAGACCATAATGATGATAATCTATTGAGGGATAGTTTGCTAAGCCAAAGTTCCACACTTATGGACTGTTTCATATGCAGATAAGTCAAGACCTCATTGTGTTTACTGCATAAGCGTCAGATCTGGGATCCATGTCCTTTAGACCTTGAGTAAACTGCAGCTAGTCAAATTAACTTTTGTCCTTCTGTGGAAGGGTCACTTGACCTGAAACGTTAACTCTGATTTCTCTCCACAGATGCTGCCAGACCTGCTGAGCTTTTACAGAAATTTCTGTTTTTGTTTCTGATTTACAGCATCTGCAGTTCTTCCAGTTTTAACTTTTGAGCTTGTTTTCCTATGGGCTGTAATCACAGAGATTTGGGATGAGATTTATCAGCAGTAGTTTTGATGGGAGCTTGCATCCTATGTGTGTGGGATCCATTACATGGACCCAGGCTAAGATCTTTGACAAAAAGCCTCCACCTATGGCTCTGGGGCAAACTTTGTTTTCCATTTTTACAAAGTATAATCTGAGATTAGTTTAACACAATGCAAAGCGTGACTGGGGCTGTTGCTTTCAGATCTCTGTTCCACAAAATGATGCATTAAAATAAAATATATTTATATTTGATTTGTAAAATGATTTCTGTACTTAAATGAGAAACTTCACACTGCTTTTACGTTGTCATAACACAACAATCAGCAACACAGTGGTTCAGTGGTTAGCACTGCTGCCTCACAGCACCAGGGACCCAGGCTTGATTCCACCCTCGGGTGACTGTCTGTGTGGAGTTTCCACATTCTCCCGGTATCTGTGTGGGTTTCCTACCACAGTCCAAAGTTGTGCACATTAGGTGGATTGGCCATGCTATATTGCCCATAGTGTTCAGGATGTGTGGGCTAGGTGGATGAGCCATGGTAGGTGCAGGGTTGCAGGGATAGGGTGGGATGCTTTTTGGAGAGTCGGTATGGACTTTTTGGGCCAAATGACCTGTTTCCACACTGTAGGGATTCTATGATTCTAATCCATTTTGATTAATTGGTCCAATGTTTCATTGCTCATTCTGATATCAAGCACTAGATTTCAGTAACACTTTTTTGTATTTTAGATCAATTCAGTAAAATTGATAGCAAAATCACAAATGGAAGCTAACTTGCTTTGTGAGCAGTGAAACATTTGAACTGTTTGTGAAACTGTGTCTAGATTCCATACATCTGGGTTATTTTTGCTGGTTGAGCCTCAAAATATAGTCACAACTTGCTAGTCACAACATTCTCTTTTTCGATTGAGTTACTAAATTATTTAAAATGGTGTTAAATCATTTTTAATTTCTGCCTTATTGAACCATTGACCTATGTAATAATAATCCCCAAACTAGACTATGTTTGTTCAGGTATTAACTATATTTAACAATGTAGTTTTGCATTCAACCCTATCTTCGCATGGGTTTGCTTTGTGATTTTCCCTAATATTGTTTAGATGCTGGTGCTATCTAGTCGAATATGAAACTTGATATGAAAAAGTTCAAAATGAAATCTGATCGTTATATTATTCCATGATTTAACACGAATGCTTCATAGTTCAAATCATAGAATCCCTACAGTGTGGAAGCAGGCCATTCAGCCCATCGAGTCCACACCGACCCTCCGAACAGCATCCCACCTAGACCCAAACCCCTGTACCCTATCCATGTAACCCTACATTTCCCATGGCTAACCCACCTAGCCTGAACATCCCTGGACACTATGAGCAATTTAGCATGGCCAATCCACCTAGCCTGCACATCTTTGAACTGTGGGAGGAAACCGGTGCACCCGGAGGAAACCCACGCAGACACGGGGAGAATGTGCAAACTCCACACAGACAATCGCCCGAGGTTGGAATCGAACCCCAGGGTCCCTGGTACTGTGAGGCAGCAGTTTAATCAGTGAGCCACTGCACTACCCATCAGATGACTTCTAATCCTGCTTTGCTGGTTTAACCAAAAAAGTCATATTAGGAGCAGGAATCTGCCAATTGCCCCATCGTGGCTGACCTGATTATTGCCTTAACTCCCCCTTACTGCCTGCCTCCATAACTCTTGATTCTGTTTTAGATCAAATATCTGTCTAGCTCAGCTTTGAAAACAGCAAACTATGTTTTGACTGGCACCTTATCAACCAGCACTCTTAATAAACTGGCAAAAATTAAATACCTCAAATACTGCGATCTACTGTGATGTCCAAGTATTTCCGCTGTAAATAAAGTGTAATAGTGATGTGAATATATTGCTGTATTACATTACATTCCTATTACTTTACGTTGATGATTTTTACATAGATTTATTCGAGGAATGTTGTGACTCAAAGTTTTGCTTGGCCAGGTTTACTGTGGTTATCTGCAACATTTGATCAGCCAGCACCCTCCTGGTTCCATAGATGCCAGTTAATAAAAGTACGTGCTATATATCCAATGTCCAGCTTTGCTGGGGAAGGGAATTGCAAAGACTGATGACCAGCTGAGAGAATAAATTCTTGCTGATCTGTCTTAATTGGGAAACCCATTATTTTGAAATTATGGCCACAGATTCTTGATTTGCCCATGAGGAGAATCATCCTCCAGCATCTACTCTATCAAGCCCCTCGGTATCTTTTTATTTCAATAAAATCTGCTAATTCTTCTAAACTACAATGAATGTAGGTCCAATCTGCACAACCTTACCTCATATGACAACTCTTCATCTCAGAAATCAGCCAAATTAATCTTCTCTGAATACCTTCCAGTGCAAGTGTATCCTTCCTTTAGCAAGGATACCACAGTTCTACGTAGTGCTCCAGATATAGTTTCACCAAGATGCTGTACAGCTGTGGTAAAATTTCCCTACTTTTATATTCCATGTCCTTAACAGAAAGGTCAGAATTCTGTTGCATTCTTAGTTTCTTGCCATACCTGTCAGGAGTTAAAATATATTTTAAGACCAAATTTTGATTTTTTTGGGGGTCCTTTTTCATTCTCACTAAGTCCTTAATTAGCTGATGCGGTTACGTGACAACATTACTTTCTATATTTATGGAGGTGAGTGAGTTAATTGAATTCAGACAGAATCAAAGGAATTCATCAATATCCTCAATAATCATCATTGTTTCATTAAACTTAAATTCACAACATACAAGGAAATCATTAATTTTCTAGACACTAAAGTATTTAAATTGACACAGGGAAACAGATCACAGTTAGCAAAAAATGCTTTTGTAAATAATTTCTGGCGGTGCAGAACTTAAGCATTGTGAAACGAGGACACAGTTAAAGCTTTTCATCCTGCATTCATCATGACTATGACACAAGCAACAATCTTGGAAGGAAAAGGGGAGACCAATTTATAAAGAATGAGGAGAGGGTGCTACTTCACAAATACTTGACAGAATATGAGAGTTTGCAAGATTTTAAGATGTGTTGACACATAAAAACGTATCTTTCGGAAATAAAACTTCAGTATTGTATTATCCAGTCGACTGTGTATTAACTACAATAGCTTCTACGACATTTTGCCCTCAGAGTAGCTCCTGAACTACTGCAGCCCTAAGCTGGGTGAGACTGTACAATCATTTGCAAGGAATTCATTATCTCCCGTGATTCCAAGTTTTCCTGGTTTCCAGTTAGCTATGTATTCCGTTGTTGAAAGGTGTAAGACTACACCCTCCTGTTTATTCCCCTGCTATCCTCCACTTTAGAGTCCCTTTTCTACTTTACAGCCTCATGCTGATCAGAATTTCTATTAAAATTTTGCACAGGCCTGTATTCCTGGTTTGTTTCAGTGCCTCGTGCTCCAATTACAGTGTGAAAATAATGCTGGACAAACTAATTCAGTATAAGTCAAGACTGTTTATTTATAGAAAGCATTTTTGCTCTGAAATGGAAAACAGTGCTGTGCAAAGAAGTTGAGACTTTAAAAGGTGAATTAGACATTGCAGTGGTGTCAATAATCCTTTCATTCCTTTACTGTATCAATTGCTCATTGCGCTTTATGTTCATATATTATAGGTCCTCCTAGTTCCAGGTGGCGGGAATATGGCGCCTTGGCAATCATCATGGCTGGGATTGCATTTGGCTTTCACCAACTATACAAGGTACAGTTGTAGTTTTCCCCACACGTTTGGCAGAAAGTCATTCAAATTCAAAATAAAATGCTCTTTCTTGTCCGTTCTCGGATTTCAGTTCAGCATAAAGGACGTTTTATATCATGTCCAGTTGAACTGCAAATAAACAGACTTTAGTGCTGCAATTATATATTTCACTTTGCTAAATGGTGTGTTGTATCTAAAGAATATTTTGAGCTGTATAGAACTGGGGCAGAAGTTGTGAATGGTGGTCATGTTGGAGATGATGAATTAAGGCTGCACTTGCACTAGAGTGGTAGCATCAGTGTAAAGTGGAGTCATTGCTCAACTTGGGAATGGATGGGAGGTCCCTCCAAAGGAATCTCATTCTTCTTTGCTGTAGAATGGAGTTAAATCCTGACTCTGGTATCATACTATATTTGTAACGTGGGTTGTTTGCTACAGTTGTAGTGTAAATGTAACCTGATTGTAATGTACTAAAACTTATTGTTAAAGGATATTGGCCTAATTGAAGATTTTTGCTCCTTGCAGTACTTGGATATGAGCACACTAAGCTAAATACATCTATGACAACAGTTGGTGACTGGTTTCTCTGACTATACTTCTTGCAGTTCCCTTGTGCAATGTACAAGCTTTTTGTTCATTTGTTCCTGACAGCTGACACCCTGATTTCAGTATATACAGCATCAGCTATTGAGCTGTGTACTAAATGACTGGGATTTAAGGAATGTGTATCATGCTGTTCAATGTAGATGGTCAACGCAGATGTGTAAGCCATCAATTTTTTTTATGATCAATATGTAATTTTTTGAGAATTTTTGCAGCATTTTGGAAAACGCTGAAATTGATAAGGATAAAAGATCATTCTCTTCACAAGATCAAACCACAGATGCCTTTATCTCCTGAGTTTTAATTATTTTAGGTTTGCAAATTGTAAGTAACCTATCAGGACAGCATTTAATTGGCGTTCTAGAGACAAGTCATTTTGAACTCTAAATGTTAAAACTGTTTCTTTCTTCCCTAGATGCTGATGGATCTGCTGAGTTTCTCCAGCACTTTGTTTTTATTTCAGATCTCCAGCATCTGCAATATTTTTCTTTTATTAAGACAGTGTTTATTGTAATTTAGTGAATTATTGTGACAAGAAGAAGAGGAATCAATGCATTTTAGAAGCCCATGTTCCTAAAACAAAAATAGCCAACTAAAAACAGCACTGCACAAGAAGTGCTTCCACTATTGGCTCATATTGGACTTTTATTTATTTACATTTTTATACTGAATCTCAGTTTGTACAATGCTAGCACTGGGGTCCTCGCACTGTATTGTCTGGCTTTTTTCCAGCTTTGTCTCAAATTCCAACATGAAAATGCACTGGAATGTTCATTATTAAATCATTGTATGTGATTGTCAGTTATTTTAATTAGATGCTCCAGAAATCTGAAGCCTGGAATTTAATATTTTCAGCCTGGCCATCTCACTAACTAGGAACTTTGAAACAGTCAGAGGCAGAAAAGAAAATGCTCCATTATGTCTCTGTTGCCTGTGTTCTTCTGACTTATTTTCTTTTGCTTTTTCTTGCCTTTTCTTCTAAGTTGACCTTGTTTGCAATTTTGTGTTTTTTTTGCTTTATCTATTTCCTCTCCTTTGCTGCAACTTTTCTAGTCTTCTGTTCTCTCTCAGTTTTTCTCTTTTCTTTTTGATATTCTGTCTCATTTTTGCTCATTTTCTATTCATGTCTTGACAGACATATTCTCTTCATTCTTTCAACTTTGTTCTAATTTAACTCTTTTTTTTTGATTATGACTTCTCTCATATACCTTTTGTGCATGTTTGATATTGCATTTGCACCACGGTTTTCACTCGTTTTCAAAATCTCTTGCCCTTTCCCTTTCCTTTCCTTTGGACTGTCCTGTATCGCTGTCACATTTTATTCCCTTTTAGTGATAAATGGCATAGATATTCATCCTAGATAATTCAGATCAGCACTCATGTTCTACAACTGAAAGCCGTATTCTATCCTGTTGCACAAACCAACCCTCATGTTCATTGTTGTATTTTGAAAACTATAGTGCTTGTAGAGATTTATTCTTTCAGTGAAAATATGATGGGTACTTGAGGCTGATAGACCCTTTTGAATGTCACCTACTTGGCATTGTTAGGCATGTGAGGTAGCTGGAACAGTTTCATGAAAAGGCGAATACAATGTCACAAAAAATGAAGTGCCAAATCAGACTAATCAGCCTGCCAGCATGATTAGCATCAATGTCATTGTTATACTGTTTCAGTGACAGGAGACTCTACGTGTTGTCTGTATGTCAGACAAATGACTTATCATCGCCATTTTGTGCATCGAGCTCACAACTGCAAAAAACATGATCAGTGTTGAGAGGAAATCTTTCATGGATAAACTCAAAACCATAAGGAATGTGACCTTCATCCAGAAACTTGGGAAGAATAGTAGAGGTTCAGAGGTGAAATTTCACAGATGACCTGAAATAAAAACTTTAGCAATGTGACACACATCTAGAAACCCAAAAGATTGAACCAGCAATGCAGTGTGTGGAAACCTCATATGATGTGTGCCACTACATGTTTCAAAGCCAAGTGTTAACATGTTAAAGTGTTGTGATAGAAAAGTCGACTAGAAACAGCTGGCAAGTAGGCAATAATAGACATGCAATACTAGTGGTTGTGAACTGTATACTCTATTGATCTTTGGAACCACTCCAGTAAACTCCATTGACTGTGACACTTGCTGGTGCTTTTGTGTCACCTTCATTTCAAAGTGACTCATATTATTGCAGGTAGTCAAGGTTTGAACTAATATTTTCTTGGAATTGGTTTAAACTGTTTCTAACTATTTATTGTGTTGGCTTGTGCTCTTTGATACTAGATTGGTTGGAGAGTAATTTTGTTATCCAATTTGGGAGTCACTTCAATTTTTATTTTTGTTCTAGTCAAGCAGTGCAATTAACATCCTAGTCTTGTGACAGCATACTCTTCATAACTGTATTAGGTATAATTAAATACAATTATCCAGCAAGACTTTTTTTAAAGCTGATTTAGCAAAAAAACAATTATTTTAAGATGTTCAACTACTGGCTAGACTGACCTGTTTTCCTCCCTGCTGTATTCAATGTCAAGACGTTTGAAATTGATTTAATGCCTCCTTGAGGCATTCAACTTTATATTGCACTAAAAGCATCAGATACTTGAGTTCATCAGAAAACAATAGGCCATATATTCTTGTTATGTAATGAATATTTAAGTGCTATTTTCTGGTTTTCCTTTTTAAGACGTATGAATGTTCAGAACAATTGACTGTTAGATTGGACCATACAAAATGTAATCCATGGAAAGACCAGATCATGTTATTCTTTAATGATAAAGGAACCAAGAGACAGTTCCAAAATGCTGATCACTGGAATCTTTAACTGTAGTGTTCTGGGTGTAGGCCTGGAGTTCATATCATAACATTCTATACCGGTTTCATGAATTCTCAGAACTAATGCTTACAAAATCATGAGCAGGTATTCCTGATATGCTCTGTTAGCCTGCACCAAGTACTAATGCAAAAGCATTCTATGTGACATCATTTATGTTCTGTAATATACCGAAGAAAACCGTTTCTTTTCTTTTTTTTGCTGAGTATTCATTTGTCAAAGTGCTGGGAGAATGCTTTCACATCCAAGATGTTGTTTGCGTGGATCTTGCTTTTCTACAAGTAGAATTATGATGGTATTAGCTTTTGCACATGTTTGGAGTCACCATTAAATGGATCAAGTGCACACTTGATTAAGTTGCAGCTAATTGGATTTTACTATTGGTTTTGAAGCTGTTCCTTTAGATGTCACTTTATTTATAAATTAGCACATTGGAAACCACACACCCACTTTCATTGTCACATTTTCCTCATTGTACTGTTCGAGCTTGAACTGAACACTGTCATGCTTGCTTTGCTAACACTAGGACAGAACAAACCCAAATTCGAGTTTATAAGAGTAGTCATTTCACACTTGCTGGTCCTTTTCACTAATGCTAGCTTAATATGTTTCACTTGAAGTGGAACAGTTGGAGAATTTTGTAAAATGACCAATGATTAAATCATCCCTGCTTAACCACAAAAAGTTTCATAATAACCATAACAGAATTTTAATCATTAAATGGATGATTATTATGAAGAAAGTGATCCTAAGTTATTAGATTCTATGGTTCCATTACTGAAAATGTTTGAATCCATTTAAAGTACCTTCATGTCAAAGTGCAATAAACAGAGCAGTTAAACATTAAATTTTGATCACTCCCATTGTGGATAGTCAGAATTTTTAATTGAAACCAACAAAGATAATATGTTGTTTACTGCATTTAATGGGGAATATTAGACAATAAGATGTAGGAGCTGGTTGGCCCAGGGAGTCTGCTCTGCTATTCAATGAGATCATTGCTGATCTAATAATCCTCGGCTTTATTTCATGCCTTTTCCCCATAACCCTTGATTCTCTTACTAGTCAAAAATCTGTATACTTTAGGCTTGAATATGCTAACCAACACTGCCTCTAACAACCCTTTGTAGTAAAAAATTATCTCGGAGGGTAGTGTATCAGTGTAAGACACTCCTCCTCGTCTCTGCTTTAAATGGGTAACACTTTACTCTGAGGTTATGCTATCTTGTCCTAAACTCGCCAATAATTGGAAACAACCTCTCAGCATCTACCCTGTCAAGTCCCCTAAGAATCTCATATATGTCAGTAAGGTCACTTCTCACTCTTGTAAATTCCAACAAGTATACGCCTGGCCTGACCAACCTCTCCTCATAAGGAAATTTCTCCATACTTCGATAAACCTGATGAACCTTCTCTGGACTGCTTCCATGCTAGTATATCTTTCCTAGATAAAGGGAACAAAACTATTCATAGCACTCCAGGTGTGGTCTAACTAGTGCCTTGTATAATTTTTAAAAGACTTCCCTATTTTCAAACTCCATTTCCCTCAAAATAACGGCCAAAGTT